GCTCTCTCTAGCTGCTATTTTTAAGTCTTTCTATCTCCCCAGACTCCTCAAAAAGCAATCTGATTTTTTTAAGCACTTAAAAATTAGAAGTCTTGATTATTTCTTTACATGTCTGTGAGAGTCAGACATCTGTGTTTGCCACAGCCTTTGCTTCTGGATATTCAGCCTTTGGGGACTCAGGCTGTTTCTCTGTGCCCAATAAATGTCCAGTAGTGAAGCTTCAAATAATTGTTATTAAGGCAATGAGCATGGGAGATTCAGATCCTATGTCTGGATAACTATATTTATAACTTCTATGTGGCAGCAGTTGAGGAAGCGGAAATGGATGGTCATAGCCAGCTGTTCCTGGCTTCCTTTGGCAATTAACTGCCCTCTTAGCTTTATACTATTTCACACTGGGACATAGCTTTGGAGGAGGGTTGAGAAAGTAAATAGTTCTGGAAAATGAATTAGAAGAAATGTGATAAACTGTTTCTGCAGGAAGTTTCAAGTGTTATCCTTGCACCCTTCCTTGCACTTGAATTCATCCCTTATTTTAAATGTCCAGCCTACCATCAAATTGTGATAGCAATACATTTCTGATTATCATACAGGAGCACAACATTGGCTGCTGGTGAATGTAATAAGGCTCCATATTCTTTCCATGACTTGCCCACTCACCTGTATCATGGCACTGTAGATCACAGAAAAGCTATTTCATGTCTGTCAGGCCCTTAAATACTCATGTATACAATGCCTGTGTCTGAAAGAGCTCCTTTTTGTGTTCCAGAGTAATCCACATATAACTGAAAATTCCTGAAAAATAATTTTTAAAAAAAAAAAAAAGCAGGAGACTTTGTCAACAGCCAAATTTCAAGGAAATTGGCCGTTTAAGACTGTGGTCCTAAACAGCTGGCTATACATATTAGCCTTATCTGACCTAGATTGAAATTTATTGCCTGTGATCTCTGTTTCTGTTGTCATTATCTTCAAATAATCAGCTGTTTGGTTTACTAGATGTTTGTCATGAGTACTTAATTTCCACTGCATTAGTTTTGCTCAAGAGAAAGCAATAATGCTGGATTGAAGCAGAAGGCATTTGTTTCTTATAATGAGGGACACTCTGGTACATGCTTTCTATCTGATTAGATGAATTATGTTTTATTTTTCTTGAGAAGAACCGTACTTAAACGCAATTTTCTGAGGAGGAAATGAGGCAGAGAGTTCACAAGGGAAAAAGGGACTGACTATCCTGATTAACATTGCCAACATTGCCTGAGCTGTAGTTTCACACATTTCTTGGCTGAGCAATTCTGATGTTTATCGATGGAAGTGTACCAGTCTAAAAATTAATTGCAGAATAATTACTTTAGGCCAAGAAGCTGTCCAGTTACTTTATAGATATGCTACAATGCCAATTCTAAAAGTGATTGTGTACCTTCCTTTCTTCAAGACTTTGTTGGACAGATTGGAGGAATGTATTTGACAAGCTCTTTTGTCAGAAATAAATTGCAGGATTCAGGCTGGCTTTTACAGAGCTATTTTCATTATTTCAGTACTTCCGGAAGTTTACACTTCTGTTAGTCACGTTGGTTAGTTGTGCGTTTATAATACTGCTGTTGAAATCATGGAGGAAGACATCAGCAAGTTATTCTACTATAGACTGTTCCCTTGCATTTATACACCAGTGCTTTGTTCAGAACAGGCAACTTGAAGTGGTTTCCTTCTGAAATTATTCCACACACCAATGGACCTTCTTGTCTGTAAAAGGATTGCTGCTGTCATGTTTAACAACTTGGCCTTATTTCCTTTGCAGAACCAATTCCATCTTACATCCCCTTGAACTATGCTAGACAATCCCATCCATTTCTTTTTGTTAAGCCTCTGAAAGGATGGCAGAATTTTGTTATTGTTGCTTTAGCTGAACTGTCACAATCACTTCTTCGTATATGAGATACTTTGGCCTTTTGTTGCAGTTTGTGGGAACTCTACATTTTTTCCTTTATAAGTGTTCTCGTACAGTAATGCCTTGAAATATGCATATTCCAGTAAAAGTTAACGTCTTCTGCTAATCTTCTTAGAAAAGCCTAATATTCCAGCATGTATTAAACAGACCCATTGTACATCTGTCAGAATAGTCCATTTTATATTGGTCTTGCAAAAAAGTATTGCTAACTCTTAGTTAAAGATAGTACAATTTGAAAGGCTGAACTGATTGCTCTTGTTGCTCCGCAACAGAAGGTTGCCTTTCCAGGCTACACTCAAAAAGTTTCCTGTTTTCTGGGTCAGGCACTAAACTGTTTGGCCCTGATCCAGTAAAGTGAGTAAGCACAAACTTAGCTTTAAATAGACTCACTGAAAATAGCTATCAGTACCAACAGGAGTTACAGGGACATTCAGAGGGACAGCAGTGTTTTCTCGGGCATTCAGCTAAGGTCTTCCAGACCTGCTGTATGAGCTGTTTTGCTGGAGCCAGATAGATCACTTTCTGCAGAAGGGAACGGCAGTGATTTACAGACTCTGTTGATAACATCATTAAGAGTGGTAGTTGGTCTTCCCCATCACTTACATTGCTCTGCCAGTGCATTTTTATTCAGCACTTCTCATGAGAGCACATAGCACAAGCAAGAGGTATGGTTAACATTACCAAGCACATACATAGGAGAACTGCTTTCTGTACCAGCCACATTTCTCAAGCATGTGCCATGCTGCATAGAGCCTGTTATAGTAATTTGGTCTTTTAATGCTGAAGACTGATATGTACAAAATGCTGCCCAAGCTTCTTTAAAAAGCAGTTATAAGATATTGCTCTTATCAAACTCAAGCAAATCCCTTTCAAAGTAGGCCATGTTTTAGACATTTGACTTTTCATCATTTTCATATAGCTTCACTGACAGTGTGGTCTGAGTAAGAAGTGAAGCCTTTGGCATTTTACATTGTTCAGTGATTTCTTTTTCTACTGTGCTGTTCCATAGATGTGTAATTTGCCATTTTGGGGACGTTTTTATATCTTTCTTGTATGTAAAAAATAATGACTGAAAGATTGATGGGCAGGAATCTCTCTGATCTGTTACATGCTTTTGGGCATGAAGAGAAAAAAGAGAATTGCAGATATCCTTTGGAGAGGGACATCAGAGTTTAAATGGGCAGGAGTGAACACAGATGCCTATCAATCAATCAGACTCACTCAAACAAATATAACGTTCGCGGTAATTTTTAGAAGTGCTGTTTTCATTAGAATAACTGTTTTCCTAAGTGTTTGATGTTGTAATATGAAATCATAGAGATCAGACTATTATTGTAAATGGGAATCTTTTCCTTTATTACTCTATTCTCTTTCCCCTGTTCTAAAACAATGTATCACTTCTGGAATATTGCTGTCTTGGCCATTTTTTCTCATGGTTTCAGCAGTACATTTTTAGCTTGCCAGCCAATTTCTGTCCAATGAATCTATTCACTGTTGGAATCTGAAAAGTATAGCTGAAATAATCCTGAGGTCAATGTAAGTACTAGAAACTGAGTTCATACATTCCACTTGACTCAAATTATTTATCCATGATTAGCTTTCTATGTCTATAAATCTATTCTCTGCTCTAGACTACCTTTCTCAAAAACTATACATGTAGTTAGGTACAACTGAATTAAATGAAATGACATTATCACCACGCCAAAAGAATTGATCTGCTTGAGGGTAGGGAGGATCTGCAGAGGGAACTGTACAGGCTGGATCTGTTGTATGGATGGACTGAGGTGAACTGTATGAGATTCAGCAAGGCCAAGTGCTGAGTCATGCACTTCTGTCACAACAACTCAGTGCTGGTGAGGCTGCACCTCAAACACTGTGTTCACTTTTAGGCCCCTGACTACAAGACAGACATTAAGGTGCTGGAGCATGGCCAAAGAAGGGCAGCGAAGCTGGTGAAAGGGCTGGAGCACAAGCTTTATGAGGAGCGGTTGAGGGAGCGGTTTAATCTGGAGAAGAAGAAGCTCAGGGAACATGTTATTGTTCTCTACAGAGGTTGTAATGAGGCTGGGTTGGTCTCCAAAATAACTACCCATAGTACAAGAGTCAAGAGGCTTGACTTGAAGAGGCTTCAAGTCGCACCAGGGGAGGTTCAGGTTAGATATTAGGAAAAATTTCTACATGGAGAGTGGTGAAGCGCTGGAACAGGTTGCCCAAGGAATTGGTGGAGTCACTGCCTCTGGTACTGTTCAAGAAATGTGTGAATGAGGCACTCAGGGACATGGTTTAGCAGGCATGATGGTGACAGGTTTACGGTTGAACTTGATGATCTTTTCCAACCTTGATGATTCAATGATTCTGTGACAGTCATAGAAAACAGGATGGCAAGAGCAGTTGAGAGGGCAACTGTCCAGTCATGCAAAATTACAGGTGATGGTCAGCAATATTGCTAGTATTATGTGCCTGTGATTCATCATATTTTTGTCTCAAAGATGGTTACACATAGGACTCATCTTACATGTTGCTAAGAGAGACAATCAGCAAGTGGCAGCAAAGGAAGAAGCGCCACTTCTGTTCTCCTCCCCTAACCAAAAAAAAAAAGTCTGATACTTCGCAATCTTTCCCACTCCATCCTCTGCCCTTTTCCTCTGCTCCTACCTTTGTGGTCCTGCAAGCAGCCAAGGACATATAAAAGAAGATGTAGGAGAAGTGTGGAGATACAGGAATTTTGTTGTCTGCCCTCACTCAGGGGGTGTTGAGAAGCCTCTGGTTCATTTTTTTGGCAGTGCATTACCTTATACTGCATTAAGACAATGCATTACTTTATATTAGATTTCTGTTCTGTTTCCTCTGCGAGGTTTTGCCATGGGAGGGAAAAAGCGGATTAAATATTTTATCATTTCACCTGTCTGTCCTCTCCAAAGGTACCAGTCATTCTCTTTCAAGATAATTTTGTTATCATGACTGCTGGCAGTAGATTAGCAGTAGACAAGCTGCTAATCAGAGTGATGTTGGTAGCCTAATTCTGTACCTGATCTCTATTTATTTGTGCTTCAAGGTCTTTGACAGAGTACGAGAAGATTGCCCTAATTTTCACGAGAAGATTAAGCCTATTAATGCTGAACTCACTCAGCCCAAGCTGGCCATCAGCGCTGAAGATGAGGAGGAGCTCCTGACTCGGATCAATATTGTCTTCCACTGTGCTGCAACAGTTCGCTTTGATGAACCTCTGAAGTATGTTCCCCTTTCTCTGCTTCTTGCACTTGCTAAATATCATTCAATTCCTCACTAGACTGCACTTAGACAGTCTAGAATATGTTATTCAGAGCACCTCATGTATGACTGCAGTAACAGTTTGCCATTTCCAAATTCATCTTGATTGAATTTGCAGTGTAAGTGCTCTGAAAATACTATGCACATATGTACCTCAAAAGTGAAGTATCTTGGCAGAGATACATGGGAGCAGAAGTACTGCAGTCTTGGCTTGTAATGTACTAAGAGTAAAGCATGATCTAAAACTGGGATAGGAAAGAGTGTGCTTTAAGTCAAGAAGGATCTGCTTTGGCAGAACAAGCCAGAAACTGCTTGAAGTGGAGCTATGTTATGTCTGACTTTAAAGTTTGTCTTAATGGCCTTTGACACTTCATGTAGTTGAAGCAAGAAATTAGATATTTTTTTAGGCAAATAGACTCTCACGGGTTTTAAAGCACCTAAGATTCAGTATCATTAACTGTTTAAGATATATGATCATTTTCTGAAGGAACTCCTTTGAGAAGTGCCTGTCCAGGCAGACTTTCTGCTAAGAAAGAATAGCAGAAATAAGCAACTTACTTAACCAAGACCAAATGTGTAAGCACTTTTATGCAAATGCTTAATATCTACAAGCCGAGGTGAATTATCTTGATTGCTAGATCTTGACAGTTTTTGAAAAACACACAATTAATAATTGCAAAGTTTATTTGACCCTAGGTAGGTTAAATAGTTATCTGCACCATAAACAATTGCTTCCTACAAGAACTAATTAGAGAACCCATAAGAAGAGTACCAGCTCTTGATTTAATCAGGATTTGTATATGGACTGTGGACTTACATGTAGAATCTGTCTCAAGATACAAGCAAAACGTTGCAGTGCTTTAGTAACTACAAAAATTCCTAAATCAATATCGGAACAAGTATACTATAAAAGTATATTACAACGACTTCAAAGGGAAGCTACATTTAAAATAAGGAAAATTGCTAGAAGAAACAGTTTAAATTGTTATCTGCTTGCAGGCACATGGAGTCTGTTTGAACACTGGATACATGTTATCTATCAAAATCTCCCAAAAATCTATGAAAATCTTTGCAACAGCAAAAATTGAGTATGTTGAAACAGCAAAGTATAAGAACTAGTTAGATTAAATGTTCTACCCTTCAAAAGATTATTTGTTTTTGAAGGGTATAGTATATCATAAGAACAAAAATTCTAGCAAGTTAAATGTGAAAGCAGCTCAAAAATTTTGAGCAACATCTTGCTTAAGACACAAACACTATTTTTTTAAACACATTGGAAGTATAAAGCCTGCCACAGAGTCTGTAGAGTTGGTAGACAGGTGAGGTATAAAAACAGTGCTGTGAAGATACATGAAAAGCAGTAATAGAGGAACTAGATGAATTATTGGCGTCGGTGTGCAGTATGCTTAGAGAATTCTACAGATGGAACTCTTCATGGGGGGAGAAATCTAAGAAAATGCGTTACAATAGAATGTTAGTAGATGCAGTTTTTAATATAAATGCAAAAATGAAGAATAACAAATCAATAGGATCAGATGATATCTGATCCTGAAAATCTGAAGGAACTCAGAATGTTCTGAGTACAATTGTGTACATCCATCTCAGAAGGAACACAATGAAAAAGAGATGTTCACAAATCTTATATACTTTCACATGAGGGGAAGGTAAAATAGAAATACTCATCTTGCAAGAAGGACAAATGAGGAGGAAATAAAAATCTAAAAAATCAAAAAGCTATTCCTCAATTGAAGCATACTAAAAAAAATGAAAGTCTCTCTCAGTTATCTAAACATCAAACATACTCTTATATTTTGTTTTCATTTATTTGGACTAAATATAGTTTCTCTTCACATCATGAAATCTGCACTGCTGTAATTGTTTTCTTTAGTATACAGGGTACAAGATAGCATTTTTAATAATCTTGGGTATATTGTTGAAAGATTCTGCTTCTAGACTGAACAGATTGCATCTTCCTTAGCCTTTTTCCTTTGCAGAGAGGAAAGTGTCTTTTGTCCAATACAAAGCATTCAATGAAGTTTGAAGTTTCATTGAATTCATTCAATGAACCTCTCTTCATGAGCTCCATTGCAGATAATCCCTAGAACATTCCTAGCTATGCCGAGTGCTTCAAGGTTGACCTTGCTAACCAGGACTCATTTTCTTCTCCTGCTTATCACTCTCCATTTCTTAGGAAAACTTAAACTTTCATCTCTATTGTAGCTCTTTTCGGTATGAATCTATATCCCTTTGCTGTCTTCTGAAACCACGTGTCTCTGGTTTAGACCCTTAAGGTTTAGACCCCCCCCTTCCTGGGGATTATAGGAACCGTAATGCCACAATGATCAAGTGTGTTGGAAATATTTGTGTCAGGAGACGATGGCAAATACACCAGTAAGGGCATAGGGCATACTTCTAGATTTAGAGATTTTAGCAAAATGTTACCTCCAGTCCCTAGAGCTAAGGAGAAATATCCAAGATGCATTCTGTTGTCAAGAGAGTGGAACCAGTATCACTGCTCTGAAAATCACTTCTGCCTTTGCATTTTGTGGAGACTTTCCTCTTTGTTTTGACTCCTTCATTTTCCTTCCTTGCCTTTTCATTATTTTTAAGGAAGTTAAGGAATTTGTCAGGGGTTAGATAACACTCAGCTTTTATATATATTCTTTCCACTTACATACTTTTTTTTTCTTTCTACTGCTCTCTTTAGACATGCCCTGCAGCTGAATGCAATGGGCACGCAGCGACTTCTAGAGCTGGCCCGGCAGATGCAGAAGCTTGAGGCATTCATCCACATCTCCACAGCCTATGCTAACTGTGTACGGAAACGCATAGATGAAGTCATCTACCCGCCCCCTGCTGAGCCCAAGAAGCTCTTCGATTTAGTAGAGTGAGTTGGAACAGGATAGCTTGTTCTGGCATAGGTTTTGCCTCATTTTGCAGACAACCTCTGGCTGAATTGTTCACATAATCTCTACAGTGTTGTTTCCTTTCATACTACTGTTATTGTTTTTTTGCCTTGTATGCACACACACACACACTAGCAAGAAATGCTGGCCATGATGAAAGGGAGACCATGAGAAGAGAGAGCTTTCATTCTAGGTCGTTCTGAGGTTTACTTCCCAGATAATTTCATGCAGTATGTCTGGCATATCTGGATTTTCTCTTGAAAGTAGCTTTACTGAAGTTTTCGAAAAGTTGAAGAAATAGAAACGCTTTTTTGGAGTCTTTTTGTCCGGAGTGCTGCTGAAAGTACATTCGGTAATCATTTGTTGATCTTGACAATATTTCTTCCAAACACAGAAGAATTATAAACATAAGTCATATATAACAACACTGCGATACCAGCTGCCACTATTTTTTTTCCACACACCAGTTCTATAACTGTGTATTTTTTTGAGAGTCCTATATTGAGTCAGCCCACAGTAAATTTTTACATGAGTGTTTTTGCTGTCAGCATTGGAGTTGTGCTGCTTCTTTCTGTAAGACTCAGTTGTTGTTACCTTAGTAAGGACTGAAATTTTTCAAATTTACTTCTTTATTTCTCCAGCTTCCCAACATAGAGTTTACTTGTTTCAACAATTATGACGAATCAAACCACAATTACATGATGCTGAAACAAGAATAAGCTGTTTTAGAAAAAAACTCGAAAAGTTTTAGAAAAGCTTTCCAGGGGATGCTCACCCTGCAGCTAAAGCTGGGATTGCAGCTGGAGCTGCAGACCTTACCCCGTAATACTTGCTTTCCATGACTGAACTGTGTCCGCACAACCACCATTCAGTGGGAGCATTCAGGCCTCAGTGGAACAACAAAGAGACTTGTTTAACTGCGTTTTCTGAAATACAGAATAATTGGAAAGAATAAAAAAAATCTGCTGACGAAACCCCCCAAGGAAATCTTCCTCTTAGAAGAACTAGATTTGCCAATAGCTGGAACTTTGTTTCTGTTTGCTTTTCTAATAGCATACATGTTAAACTGCTGGTTTCATGGAGCTGTCTGCCATGATTCGAAGATCTTTTATTGAGTTATAAGTGCCAGTTCCGAGTTCAGCAACCTTTTAAGCCCAGTTTGGGCTATTTTTCCCCTAAATGTGAACTTACACGTATCTATAGTGAAACTTATCTTTGTCCCTGCTTGAGCAGCAGGATTGGACCAGATGATCCTAGAGGTCCCTTCCAACCTTAACCATTCTGTGATTCTGTGATTATCTGCTATCTTTTTGTCCACTGGCAAATGATGTCCCTTAGAGTTCATCACAATCAGTATTACATTTCATTGTCCAAAAAAGCTTAGCATCATCTGCAAATTTAGAAATGATTAGTGCTAATGGCTCAGATAAAGAGAGTTCAACAAAGAACTGAATGCTAATCAGCAACATGCAGAAGTCTCTGGTTATGGCAGACATTGCAAATTCTATCGCTTCATATAGCACACAAAGAATTCACGTATCATAATTTGAATGTACATCAGAGAGAATGAAGTATAAAGAAAAGCTTGAGTGACAGGTTGCTTTTTTGATTTTTTGTTGCTTTTTTGCATGCTTTTTCAATTTGTTTTTGTTTTTCTTATGTTCTAATGGTATTTCTAGTGAGATAAAAGTCACAGTATGCCCTCCGTTAGAATGTTGCTTTCAAGTGCAAAAAAAGTATAAAAAGGTATATAAAGAGTTTTTCAAAAAGGGGGAAGAAACATGGGTCATGTTTTTCCTCGGTCAGCTTCCATTTGTATGGCAAACAACACTTGTCTTAAAGTGTTCATTTATAAATCTAAAACTGAGGCTGCCATCTACCTTGGCTATGCATCTGCTGCTCAAAACCTTCTCTCAGATATGAATCAGGCCTGGCAAGACTGAATTTGGCTGTGCAGGTTTACATGTTTTGTTGTGCCGTTTGTCTGGCTTCATCTGCTGCCAGTGTGTATTTTTACAGGGTTAATGCATCACAAAACTTTTTAAGTGGAAAATTTTTGGAAATGCATTAAAAGGAATTAGCTCACAAGCTAAATAACAGATCAATTTAACGGTTCATTTAGCCATGCAATTGATATATATGCTTATTATTCTTTCCACAGTTGAAAACACACATAGAATTCCCAGCTATTTCTTTCTCTCTTTCTCTCTTTTTTTTTCCCCTCCTGATCTATCTCTGCTTTCAAGTGTTTTTTTTCTTACCTGCAACGAAAGCCTTTGGCTTAATCGATGTAAACCAAAAGTTGCACTTCTAAGTGCTGTCAGGCCTGTCAGTAGAGGAAACATATAATCTGTCACATTAATTGAGGTTTGTCTTAATCTAAAGCTGAGGGAAATCAGCTTTGAAGAGTGTACTGAGGTAAGGAACAGAGTACTCAGTGCAGTGGGGGCTGCAGCAGAACTAGCTATATTATTACAGAAAATGTAGAAGGTCAGTCATCATTTATAGAAAACAATGTGTCTTGTTAATACAAATTGTAAATATAGAAAATTATATTTTCTTGGGGTAAAATCACTTAGTGCATATGTGACTGTTTAATTTTCATCTCACTTATAGGACAGTGGCAGCAGTAGGCAAAAGCAGTTGCTTTATGATTTAGTGTTTGAAGAATCTTCAAAGTAGGTCACAGAAAATGTTCAAGATGATAATATGGGTAGGTCAAAAAACCTGGTAGAAGGGTATCCCTGAAGCTGGAGCTTGCTCCTTTTAATGACTATTTAAACATAAATAAAGGCCTATTTAGAAGGATAACGGAAAGAAGGAATTTCTTTTATTTGCAGTTCTACACTCCTCTTTTCTTTGTAGGAAACATACAACTCTCGTACAACTTTTTTTGAGAAATATTTCCAGCCACTTCTAGTCAGAGGCATCAGAGAAGCAATGTGGTACCTGAGCTACAAGATGTTTGCACATTTAAAGTGATCTCATCAAGTAGTTCCAAAACTGTGACAGTCTTGCCCTTATTCCTCTCCTCCTGCCCTTGGCCTGTTTCTAAAATTCAAGGTGACAGTAGGTGAACTTAGGATTAACAGGAAAAGTATCCTTGGAATATCCCTGAGAAGAACAAGCCTATTCAGTCTGACCTGTAAGTCCATTGACTTAATTACAAATTGGATTATAAGGAGTTAACCTTTGATTCGGTGGTGTAACATCAAACTGCTGAAAGCCTGTCCTGGATTGGCAGCTGTGTGCAAGGGCTCTGGAAGTACAGCCAGTTCCTTTCTTCAGGTCTAAGTGTTGACAGGGCCACTGAAGTATTTCTTGTTTGCCAGGGCAGACTTTGAGATTTACATCCTCACTGCAGCACCATAGTGGCAAGGGTGGTGTTTCTAAAGTTATATAGGTACCTATTTCTAATGAGTATCAACATCAGTTAAATACTTGCACACCTTAGGAGAAGACTCAAATCTTTTCTTAACAGCTAACACTGATAGTTTCCCAATTTTCTATGGGAACATCTTTCAGTAAAAGGGAATAACTTTCTTACATTTCTTAGACTAGTGCATAGTACTCAAACAAAACCAGCTTTCCTTGCATGAATAAGGAATATATTTCCATAGATGGACTATTCGATGCACAAGGCACTTTTTTCAGAAAGAAACATGAACACTGCACAGACCTCTCTTAAGCCGTGCTGTTTGTCTGATTAAAGTAGAAATTTGTATCATTGCTTACCTACAAACTGGCAGGTTTATCAAGGACGCTGTGGATAAAGAGTTCTTGCAAAGGTCTTTATAATTAGCGCAACATGAATATCACTTTAGTTACTACTTTTAGCTTTTTTAACTTTTATATGTTACTCAGATGGGTAACTCAGGTTGCTAAGAATTTTCTGGAAATGCAGTAGGGAGTATGTACAGGCTGTTTTGGCTAGTGATGAGGGAGGAAGAGTTCAGTGTTGGAAAGCTCCATCAGACCATGTAGACCATCGCTTATCTATAGATTGAAATGAAGCATAAGACACTGAAGAGATCTCCTTTACAATAAGATAGCATAGATACCTGTAATTGAGCTAGCCATTATACTGTGGAACTCACGGGGAGTTATTTTGCATTTCCAGGAAAAAAAAATAAAAGTAACCTATCTCTCATATAGCTGTTTCAGACAAATCGAAATCAGTTACTCCTTGTTTTGTCTTAAATGACTTTGAGTTGCGCAACCTTTGTTTCAGATGAGGATTCCTATCTCACTTCTCCTTTTTGTGGTTTTTGTTTTTGCCTCAGTCCTCTCTCTGTGTGGCAGATGATACTGATATTGTCCTTTTTGCCCTCCTCAGGTGGTTGGATGAATCTATTATTCAGGACATCACACCCAAGCTGCTTGGGGACTGGCCGAACACCTATACTTACACCAAAGCCTTGTCAGAATACCTGATTCAGCAAGAGAAAGGAAACTTGAACATTGCTATCATCAGGCCATCCATTGTGGGAGCTAGCTGGCATGAGCCTTTCCCAGTAAGCACACTTGCTTTTCTTTCTACAACAGTTCCCTACTGAGAGCCCTGTGATGATAGAGTTGCTGTGCTTCCAAGGGGCTGGAACTATTGGTAGCAGGGTTCACTGGAGAAACAGGGGCCTCAGTTTATAGGAAACCAAGTGGGAAAGGTGAGGAGGGCCTGTATCTGCACAGAACAGAAAACCTTCTAGTTGAGCTATTAATGAGGTACTGAAGAGCAGCTTAGACCTCAGTGGACGCACACTTACATGGGACTTCTGTGGGTACAAATGTGTTATCCATGGGATTAAATCCAGCTGTACTTTTGGACTAAAATAATTTGGTAGGCTAAATATACTAGTAGTTATAATTTGGTACTGCAGCCAAACTGAAAAGGCAACATAAAGTCACCTTTGTCTTTTGAGCAACTTGAAACATGCCGAAGATGTCTGAGATGTAGCTGAGGCTATGGGCGAACTCACCGTCTCAGAAAGACAGAGTAAGTTATGTTCAGTGTCATAAAGCTATTTCAGGTCAGTTTGTTCATGATTGTTTTAATTCCAGCTCTCCCAGAGACAGTCTCCTCAACCTAAAGCAGGAGGGATTCAAAAGTCAAGAATGGTATTCCTCTCTTCCTTGCCATAGAAAATAGATGGAGTAATCAAATCAGCCTTAGTGACATCCGTACAATGTGTGTCAGTGGATATATTCCACACTGTGTGCAACAGATATATACCACTGTTTCCAGCAAATGTGACAGACCCAAGATAGCATAGTGGTTTTCAGTGTTTTTAAAGCCAGTATTTATTCATGTAGTAGTTTTCCTAAAAGAAATATCGTTCCTAAAAGAAATATTGACTCCTTTAATAAGCAAATTGCAGACAATATGAGGTGTGTCATACAAGGCATCCTCTTCTTAAAATCACTTAAATACTTTGTACTGGTTTGTTTTCTGACAGCTGTCCCAGGTAGACTGGCATCTATTTTAGCTGTTGTTTCTTTACTTCTTCATCTATACCACAACATTAAAATCCTTTCACCAGGGTGGAGCCTGTGTAAACAACATATTACTGAAAGAAATAGTAATGTGTTTTTTCTTTTTTCAGGGTTGGATTGACAGCTTCAATGGGACAAGTGGAATCTTTGTTGCAGTAGGTGTAGTTACTATTTAAAATGCACTTAAGAAGGGATTTAAGAGCTACTACAGAGTAACTCTAGCGTTCCTATTTAAGCCCCACTCAGAAACTGTGTGGAAAAAAAGGGATCACAGCAGTTTTATGAATATGGGAAAAGATGTATCTCACACTTGCATGATATCTATACATCTATATGCCTGTGGCACCTTACAGAATGTTTATGCTGCATTCAAAAAGATACTGTACAAGTATTCATGCTGCAAATCAACATCTCTCCTAAAATCTCAGGATACTAGAGTTAAGAAGGTGTTTAAAAATTTATTTACACTCTGCTCCATAAGCATTCCATTATAGTTTTTAGTTAAATCATTATAGTTTTCTTCAAGGTTCCTTACCTCTCAGGAGATGACTCAGGTTTTAAGAAAGAGAATTATTCTGGTGGCTGGATGAAATAAGGCAACCAGGAACATAAGTTTGGAGGAAGTCCTGCACTGGATCCAGGGATGGATCATATACATTTTTTTTCTGTGGAGTCTTGAGAGTACTCATTTGATTAACCATATAACTCTGTGGGAATGAATTGTGTTCATTGTGGTTTCAGTTATCTTTATACATATTTTTGTTATGTTCACTGTAGAACAGTTTATGACTACTTATCGGTAATAAATATTCTGATCTCATTCCCCATGTTCTGTACAGTAATTCTCCCTATGCAGAATACAATCAAATAACTATAACTATCCATTAGATATCAATCAAATAACCATAACTATCCATTCAGACTCCTCCAGTCAAGTGCATGATTCATTATATTCTTGCTTAGCACTGGTGTGAAAAACTACTGAATAAAGTAATAAGGAACGAACTCGCAAAATAACTGAGTATCTTGAGAAAAATGTTTACTGTGAAATTACATCATTTTAAATAATTAAATCATTAAATCATGCATTTTAGCATTTGCAAACAGTAATGTTACATACTCTTTCTCCTGGTTTATATTTATTTCTGAGATACAATCACTGCTTTAACCCTATCTGCCAGTGTATTATGAGGTGTATCTATGGACAAGTATTTTTAAAGTTCGCGTATGCTTTGTCCAACCTGTCTTCTTTGTAAAAGCATAACAATCAGCCTGCTGTGGTATATAACAATATTAGTAGTCTGAAATCATAGAAGAGCAGAATAAAGCTCACTTACATATAAGTAAAGTATGAACAGAAGCTGTAACAGTTACCTCTGGAATCCACAAGTAAATTAGTGGGTGTATTCTAGCTAATGCTTTTATTGAAAAAGACGGGTTTGCTTTTCACAGAGGTTCAAAAACCCCCAAACACATAGTTCAACAACATGTGAACTATTCCTCTCATAGTTTATCTAAAATAATTTTTATCTTCCAACTTTTTACTCAGTGATAAACATGCTCATAAAGCTTGTACTGCACCTCTTTGCATTAGGCTCAGCATCTTGTACTGTTCTTTGTGTTGTTTCACATCTTGCCATCACCACAAGACAGAGAAATTTTGCACTTCCTTACATTTCCAGAGCGACTGTTTACATTTTCATGTGACAGGCTCTAAGTTGTGTAGAAATATCTGTGAATTTTGACTTTTTATGATTATTCTTCAGCATTAAAAATTGATGCCTGACAAAAGTATGTCAAGCTACAGGTTGGAAAAAAAGATGTTATGAAAAAAGGTTTCATTGCATTGCTTTTTATTCTCTGTGAGTGAGTTACCTAAGTAATAAATTACAGCAGTTAGTTGCCGTACACGGATCACAGGTCCGTACATTATGAAACACAGGGCCAAGTCTGAACACTTTATATAAAAACAGGCCAATCAAATCTTTTGTCACGTAAAAAGTATTTTTAGATCTCCCCCTTCCTTCCTTCCTTCCTTCCTTCCTTCCTTCCTTCCTTCCTTCCTTCC